ACTCGTTCGCGACGACGATATCATGAGATACCTTCCGAATTGGAAAAACATTTCCTCGAAGTCCGGATCGAATGTCGCGACCGCTTCGACCTTCCGTTTGTCGGTCGGTAACGCCGTCTGTTGTGCCGACGACTCACCCAAATCGACGTCCACTCTGTTGAACAACGAGTGGAAGTCCGACAAATGCTCCGTCCGTAGGGTTTCGTAGCATTTTTCTGAGGCCTTCCCGATCCACGCGTTGACATTAATAGCCGGGTCTTCACCGGACTTAAACATCTTCTGGTCGTCGAACACATAGTCAGTACCGGCGCTAACAATGAGAGTCAAGGCGTCGCAGCCGTTGAACTCAATGACCGAACCGTTCACTTTGAGAGTACCGCCCGTGTGTTGGGCCAACACTTTCCACGCAAACCGCAATCCATTCACTAGTTTTCCGTTCACTTCGATCGTATTGTTCACCAAATTGGCAATCAGTTTATGCGAGTCCTGCAGTTCTATGCGTCCGGTGTATGCCTTTCCCTTATCGGCGGTCAACCGGCCGACCAATACTTCCGACACGTGACTCACAAAGTATTCGCGTTTGTATTGAACGCCATGTGATTCGTACTGAACGGTCGTAACCGCGTCCCCGATATCCAGCGCTCGCTTGTACTCAGTGTTGACCTTATGTTCGGGTAAATCGACGATCAGATTACCCAATGTCTGATAATCCCCATAACCCGGGCCGTCATATTTTTGGGACGGGTTGTCATCGCCCGTCCATAAAGTTATTTCATTTATATTTATTCTTTCTTTTTCTATATATTTACCAAGGATATTCAGAAAAAGTAATTTTTATTTATAGACACAAATTAGGTTTTTAATATAACTCTAAACTAATTGTTTTTAATTTAAAGTTTACTGTAAATGTTTTTTATAACTAATAGAATAATTATTTTTTTAAATTTAAAAAGTTTTTATGACTAACCCGAGTGTCCATAAACCAGTCCACCTATCCGTCCATTACCTATAGGCAGGGCTTCATTCATGCCATCAGCGGCTGGATATTCATACCAAAAACCTTTGTCACTCGCCCGGACACATGTGACAAATACCTGGATAATCACTAAAGCTAATATCCCATTCATCTTTATTTAATGAATTTATGAACAATTAAAGAATATATTTATACTTTTAAAAAAATTGTGTCCATCAAGGTTATATTTGTATTTATGAACATGTGAAATAATTCACAATAATTATGATTAAATTCTAAGTAGTGTATCAGTAGCACCGTTAGGTAATCCTGTTAGCTATTTGTGATAAATTATTTTAGGTATTATGTCCTTATTTAGATAATTCATTTTCTACCTATATGTTATATTGCATTAATAATACTTTAAAATAATTATCAAATTATATATATTTATAACACAAAAATAAACTGATAATTTTATGCACCCAATATACTTGTTTATAAATCCACTTATAAACAATATTTATGAGCAATGATTAAGTATTCCTGATAAGATACAAATGAATTAAAATAAAACAAAAGCAGTCTCACAGCTAAATCGTGACTGAGTTCGCATCTTACGACTACTCATATAAAATGACACACTTTTCACAAATTAATTTTTACCCTTTAATATACACCAAATGTGATTAGTTGTGAAATTATAAACA